GCCATTTTAGTGCCCCCCACCCCCATTCCGCCGCCCCCCTTCCCCCGCTTAAAAAAATCCTGGATCCGCCCCTGCATACTGTATTGACTGATTATTGAAAGTATGTAACTCACACGTGTCRTCGTCGTCGTCGTCTTGGTGATTCTTTGCCCGATGTCTTCTTCTTAGCCGTAATAACATGTCTAGTACGAACCCAAGAATCACCATGCCAACTAATCCAAATCCTAAGAYATACATGAACGGCCATGTCTCAGGGGAGTCTAGCGAAAGAGGTTGGACCACTTCTTCTTCGAGACCTGCATACTTTGAGAGTGAAAAAGATTCAGCACTGAGACACTAGGCTGTCTAAACGTATAGACTTTATAGTGTGTTTGTATAACGTTGATGAAACCAAGAATGTACAAGAACAGACAAGAATAGACATGAAGGGACGAACACGCAGAAGTCCTGCACGGATGCTCTGGATGATAAAGTCTACCGATCTATGCAATTTTCTTGACCACTCCCAGAACAAGTAGGTTTGATAAATATAGTATTCCATTTCCTTTAACTAAGTCTTTCGMTTCATTTTACCTCAAATATTCTGCTGTTGTTTGCCGGAATCTTGTCAAGCTCGTATTCTTGAGTACAAGACATCGAGTTGTTCTTTGGGTAGCGGACCATCAGATGAAACAAAACATCTGACTTTTGTAGTTCCACTGCCTTGACTTTCTTAATATTCCTCTCTTTAGATAACTGGCTACCGAATAAGTTAGCCAATCCAACGTCTATCAACATTGAATCAATCTCATTCTTTTCGTTATTTAAAGCATCGAACATTTTTGTCGCTTGGCTGTACTCTGCGAAAAAAATGTGAYGGAAAATATGTCATCTAACAAGACGGTGTCCAAGTGCATGTCTTTAGAAATTCCCCATTTGGACGTCTGAGATCTATAATGAAAACTGCCTGCATTCTTATCGTTGGTCTTATAGACAACGGGTAGTTTTCACTAGAGTCTATACAACGCGACGCGCTTTCTTGGGGTGGGAYGCCCAAAAAATATTGAAWTAAATTCACTTTTCATTTATGGTTTACCTTTAGGCTTTCCACCATTATTCTGTATGTATGATGTCACTTCTTCTTGTAGACCCAGAACAGCAATCTGTTATTACAGAATACCGATAAAACAACTTATAGTACATTGTCATTGCTTCTTTCTKCGATTTAAAGTGACTCTTATACAGCTATATTCAGAAAATGTTGAATACTGCATACTGCATAATGGAATCCAAGATTACAATGCATTGTTGCAATTAACCTCCACTACTGTAATCTGCGTTATAAAATAACAGTTCTTAACTAATTGCTTTCCGTTGAAGTTCTTAACTGCACTGAGCTGTTATAGTTACTTTGACACCACAGAATTCCTTTTCAATGTCGATAGAACGACCAAKAATGCATTGCAATCTTGGAATGCACTTTCTTCAGTATTCAACGTTTTCTGAAATAGGTGTATACAGTTCTACCAGGTCATGCAACAGGGACACCGTATATATATCCCTGCTGCTTGGTGACCTGTTAGAACTTCAATCAAACTTAAACTTTCAGGTACGGTACGGACGGACACCTCTATATTAGTGCGCTTTCCATTTTTCAGAACTGGCTGGCCAGACCCAGAGAAAATGTCATTATATATCATTCCCATTTAGTTAGGAAATTCAAATTTTCAAATTCTATCAATTATTCTACAGAAAACCTCGAAATGACTGAAAAATGTTGACAAAAAGCATTATATACTTCTAAATAGAGTGGACTGGCCGGCCAGTTCTGCCTAAATGGAAAGCACACTTACATATCTAAAATGGACCTAATTACCGTTCGGTTTTCGATTTGTTCACATGAGTTTTTGACTGTTGCTATGGTAATGGCGCTTGTTATAGTTGCAGTGAAGAATGAAACAATGGTGATCCCAACTAAGATCCACAGAACGCTAAACAATCGACCAATCAGAGATCGCGGTGTCTTGTCTCCATAGCTACCAAGTTTAGTGATAATAAGATGAGTGATACGATATTCTTAATGAATTTGAGGTGTWCTGAACGGGAGGGTCAGTAGAAGTGTTTAACGACTTAACGATAAAGGTGTAATCAATTTTACTTCTCAGAAGTTTCTCAACAACATCGACATGCAAGTCTGTTAAGTCTGCTGCTATTGTTTGGTTTGTGTACGGATTTATCTTACCCCACTGTTGTCATGGAGATAAAAGCCCACCAAAAACCATCAAAACCTCCTGGGAAGAACGGCGTAGTAAATTCTTCATCATTGTCACGTGACTCCTGGAAAATCAAACATAGTCAGAAAGCATAGAGAACGATCTCGATAGATATAACTGTGTACAATAAATTAGAAAACAGATGGGATGAACAGATTGATGAAAAAATAAATGAATGGATCAATCATGTACATACCAAAAGCCAAACAATGACTCCAGCAATACCAGCTAACAATAGCATTAGTGTAAAGATCGGCCATTGCCTGTAGATCAACGTGAAGATAACCAGGCTCCGGTCTGTTCGGCAGTTAACAATATTTACAAAGTGAGCTTGCGTCTTTGAACCTTTAACAGCAGCGAAGTGATCGAGGAAATCGACTTCTGTTTCCTCTTCTCTAGTATAAATAATATATTAACTTGTATTAATTTCTATTAAAACAAAAACTTGGTATACTGTTTTAATCGTTGTCATAAACCAGAAGTATCTCTGTTATGTACTTCTGAATAAACTAAACAACAACAACAACAACAACAATCCAAGATGGCGGACTATAATATAATATGTATAGTTTACAACATGAGCGGCCGTGTTGTATGGGAATTACAATCTCGAGCCGCAGGCGAGAGATTGTAATTCCCATACAACACGTACGCGAATGTTGTAAACGACTTATAAAACTCCAACACAAATTAACATGAATTACAGTGAGATAAATGACGAAAAATGACAAATAAGGTAACTGCTGAGTTTAGTCCCTATTAAGCATGCGCAATTTACTGCACAATTATTTACACAGAATATTTTGAATAATTATCCATCCCACATGGAAAGCAAGCCATCTGTTGCATAAGCGAGTTCTGTTATCCGTCTTTGATTGCTTCAAAACCTAGTGAAGGTCTATGATGCGACACTAAAACTGAGACCTTTGCTAGTGTTGGGTTGTCTCAATGGTGACGACCGTGTTGTAAATCTGATACAACCACAAGTGGTTGTATCAGATTTACAAGGTCAATCACCTGATTAAATGGTCAGCCCTTATTGGAGCAATAGCTTATGCATTATTAATAAGTTTTATAAAGAAATGAAAGAAAGTTATAGTGCTTAGAATGAGGCAATTCCGTGAGAAAGTCCCTTAAGGAATAAATTCAGAAAAATTAATTTCCGACCTCGCTGGGATTCGAACCCACGACTTTCGGATTTGTACACCGATGCAACAACAACAAAAACAACAAACAAACAAAAATGAAACAAAAGTATTACCAGCTTTCAAGGCGTATTGCTGTTTTTTTGTTTACATGAAAATAGCATTTTTGAACGGTTGTAAAAATTYTGAGATGTGACATTTTCCAGTGTAATCTTATGTTTGAGTCTTATCTTCTCAAAACTTTGCCAATTTAGGAACAACCAGAAGTACGTGTACTTCTGAGGAACTCAAACCGGTCTCTTACGGTTTGAAATTATGCAATTATGAGTTGCAGCCAAGTTGGTGAAATAAACAGCACTAAGCACTAAAAAATGGGTCAGCCATTGGTGGTGGCCAGCTCTTTTTTATTAGAGAAACGAAAACAAAAGATAGCCCTCACTACCTCGGAGTTCCCCTTCTYATGTAAATAGCTTCTATTACAGGAAAGAGAACTGAGAATTAGATGAAGGGTACAAAGAATATGATCRTATTCAAGAGAAAATTTGTACAAAATTTGTCACATTATTAACACGAAAGCTTCTACCTTGTTACATATGTAAACGTGTATGTTAACTTCCGCAATCCATTCATGGATACATCTTGATCATTTGATTCAAAAATATCCGCGTACAACCGTGAAGTAATTCTACTAAGAAAATAATAAATGATAAAATAAAACTGATGAGAAATAAAAGATGATAAATGAGAACGCTATGGTAAAATATTCTTAAACATTTAA